GGCGAGGCAGAGGCCTCCGGCCGCAGGGCCCGTTTTCCCTCCAACCCCCACCCCACTCCAGGGCCGACATCCAGCCGCCGGGTCCATTTCCCCCCACCCAACCCCACACACTCCAGGGCCGGTGACTGGAGGTGCAAGCCTCCGGCCACCGGGTCCGTTTCCACCCCCCACTCCAGGACCAGAGACAGGAGGCAGAAGCCTCCGGTCGCCCGCTCCCTTCCCCTCCCCCACCACCCACTCCTGGGCTGGCAACTGGAGGCCGAGTCCCTTCCCCCCCACTCACTCCAGGGTCAGCAACGGGATGCAGAGGCCTCTGGCCGCCGCCCCCGTTCCCCCACCCCTCTCCCACCCTCACCCACTACTGTTTACCTTACCACCATCCAGCCTATGCGTTCGTTACAGACCACATCTTTCTAGATCTCGTTGTATCGGATTCACAACGGGCTTTTCAGCTAGTAACACAATATAAAACAGTAAAAACCATTAAATCACAGCAAACAGATAAAGTGCTCCATGCAGACAAGATGGTCTCTGAGGATGGTAGCAATCATTTCCTTAGGTAAAATTGTCCTGTCGATGGTCCAAGCCAGTCCAGTGGCAACAGTGCCATGCAAATTTATGGCCGTTCTTCCGGGGACCACTCCCAACCCTGTTGTTTCAGTGGTGGTAGTAGTAGAAGTGGCGCCCCTATATAAAAGGCTGGTGGAAGAGCTCCGTCTTGCAGGCCCTGCGGAAGTGCATAAGGTCCCGCAGGGCCCTGATCTCCTCCCGGAGCTCGTTCCACCAGGTGGGGGCCCCCACTGAAAAAGATCTGGCCCTGGTCGCAGCAAGCTTTACCTCCCGGGGGCCTGGAATCACCAGGTGATGTTGCGTCCCCGACCGAAGTGATCTTGGGGGTATGTATGGGGAAAGGCAGTCCCTCAGGTAGGTCGGACCCTGGCCATACTTTTAGAGGCTGATCAGGCCTGCACAGCTTGTGACCCACAAAGCCCAATACTAGCTGCCTTTCTTCTGTGGTGAGCCATCTATTTTGTGCTTCCTGCCTGGGCCTGCAAAAGTCGGGAAACTTGTCAAGCACTTGGCAGACTCTTGACACCTGTCTCACAGCTCGCTTTAAGCTTGATGGTCCCACCACAGGTTGAGCAGGCCGGTGTTAGACCCCAAAATCATCTGCCAAATTTTTGAAAAATATATAGTATCTTGATGATTCCAAAGGCCGTGATTGGAGTGAGTCCGTGTTGCTTAACTAGCACCTAAAACGGGAAGTCTGCCTTGTCAAGGAGAATGAGAAGTTAAAGGGGGGGGGGGCTTTCGCTCCACCCTTAAGCTCTCTTTTGGCTGGCCCGTGAAACCGAGTGCTGTCCATCTGCCCTGTGCTGCTCCATAGCACTACATCCATCTTCTGTTGCAATTGAAATAACAACTCTGAATTTTTAAAATTGATAAAAAATATATTGGAATTAACTGCGCCCTCTGGGCCTTTCCATTTTATTTTAAATTGAATCGGAAACGTCCCTTTTGGGGGAAGCTTGAAGAATACCTCTAGGCTGTGCTGTGCTTTCCCTGCACTCTCTTCCTTTGATCAGAGTGTCTCTCAAGAGTAACACTAACTCCGTATACCCCTTGCACTGGGACATGCTTCACACATCACAGCGAAGGGATTTCCCTGCATTTCCAGCCTGATTTGCTGCATGCGTCTACAGGCTTGCTAAACATTTCCAGACATGTAAACATGCTGTCTGGCAACTGGAATTGGTTGTGAGTCCCAGGGGTTGTTTCGTAGAAAAAGAGCTAGGGGAACTCATTAGCATAACTCATTAGCATATGCCACACCCCCTGACATCACCGGAAGTGTGTCATAAGGCCACACCCCCTGACATCACCGGAAGTGTGTCATAAGGCCACGCCCCCTGACATCACCGGAAGTGTGTCGTAAGGCCACACACCCCGCCCCCAACGGTCCCGGCCGCCGCTGCCAGTCTTGCCGCTTCACTGCCGAGCCCCATGAGGGGCCCGGCGGTGGACCTGCAAGGCCGGCGGGAGTGCAAGGAAGCCCCGCAAAGGCCCTCCCTGGCCCCAGGCAGGCAGGGGTGGGGAGAGGCAGGGAGGAAGCAACTTACCCTCCCTCTTCTCCTGCCTCCTCCTGGCTGAATGAGGGCCGGAAGCGGGGCGGCCGGAAGCGGGGGGCGGGGCTTCGTCATGTGCCCCGCCCCCCGTACCTCACCCGGGGGAACTGCGATCCCCCACGATCCCTCCCGAAATGACCTCTGGTTGTGACTCTTGAGCACACGTTGATGGTGTTTTTAGGCACAGGAATGCATTTCAGCTGTTAGAGAAGACACGTAATTGGCCTGTGGAGGAAATGTTGGACCACAGTTTTTCTTATTATTTTAGTGCGTTTTTACTCTGGTATATCGGCTGAGAGAGAATGACTGGTTGAAGACGAGCCATTGAGTTTCGTGGTGAGCGAGGATTTGAACCTGGGTCTCCCAGGTCTTAGACCAGTGCTCTGCCATGTCCCTCGGAATTAAAGGTCACCGTGACTTGTTTCTAATTCTAGGGACCCTTTTCAGCTGTTCAGTGCAGTTCTTGACTGTTTCTGGCTCCTAAACAGATTCCCTGGACTTTGTCACTGAGTGGCTGCGAGGAGCTGTGGATGACCTGAGGTACAAACTTCCACCTGCTGTTGGTGATGCTGCGGCATCTTCCAGTAGAACTCCCACACTGTGTCATCTTGCTGTACAGAACCATGCATACCTTAAGCTGCTCAAGTGGGATCATCTGCAGAAACCATTTCCAGAGGTAATTTGTGTATTTAAAACATTAACATCTCAGCTGAGATTCAAGGCAGCTTACGTAAGTAACAATAAGTTGCAATGGAAAAATAAAGCAGTTGTGCAAAAATTTCTTTTCCAAAGATGCATGAAAACAGAATTGCAGCAGAAAGGAGGCTGAGGATTAACAGTTAAATTGGGTTCGTGCCTGGATAGATGAATATGTAAGCTTGTAGGGGCTTGTAGGGGCAGGATAGTTGGCCACCAAATGAGAAGGGAGCACTCACTGGAGAAGACCGTGATACTGGGAAAGATTGAAGGTCAAAGAAGACGGGGACGGCAAAGGATGAGATGGTTAGACAGTGTCATCGATGCAATGAACATGAAATTGAGCAAACTTCAGAGGACTGCGGAAGACAGGAGGGCCTGGCGAGATCTTGCCCATGGGGTCGCGAAGAGTCGGACTCGACTGTGCGACTGAACAACAACAAAAAAGTTGGTCTGAGCGGCACTGGGAGAATGTGCTGAAACACCCTTGAATGCTGTGTATCTGTGGACAAAGTGACCTGGGAAGTCAATCTTGACAGGATGACTCAGGAAAACTCGGCTGTGTAAACAAGTATTGTATTGCAGTGTCTCCCCGTCTTATCAGTGCATGCCTGTATTACGGTATCATGAAGCCTTTGGGGACAGGAGTGATTATTGACAGGGAATGTAGGAACAATGTTTAGATTCAGTTTCTGGTTTATTATTTATACCAGTCAAAGCTCATTAGGCATGTCTCTCAGTGGACATTTATATATAGACTGATTATATATGTCACCTTGTTCTTTCTGCAAACATTCGGGAAATGTATGCTCTTGGATGAGTTACCATTGTTAAAAATGGCTGCTGATTAATCCTGTCTGGATGGCAGAGCAGTTGTTTTGATTATTAGAATACCTTGACCCGTGAGAAATGTCTTGGTTTATATGTGGGGAATTGCAGCCAATATCATTGTTTTTCAAGTACTATATATTTAAAAAATCAGGACACACAACCTGAACATTTGGTTCATGCATTAAATGACCTGATTGCAGTGTAGATTTATAACCTTCTGGACTGATCCCGGGATCAATATTTGACATAATGTAGACTTGGCAGAGTTCCATGTGTTTATGACAGGGAGATGAAGAAGAACGGACTTTCATTGACAGATAATTGTAGCAACTACTAAGAACATATTATTTGCAACCATTTCTTCTGTTACCGCTACATAGTTCAAATATTATTTGTATAAAGTATGTATTATAGTCCCAGTTTTAGTCCTCTCTTCCCTCAAAGATGTTCCCCTGCCCTTATGGGGCTTTTGATCAGGACACCTGTGGCGCTGAAGAAGGTACCCGTGCCCCATAAGGTGAGGGGTGTGGTAATTGGTGACAGGGCTTTTTTTGTAGACAAAGCCCAGCAGGAACTCATTAGCATATTAGGCCATACCCTGACAGCACAGCTCATTAGCATATTAGGCCACACCCCCAAAATACCAGAAGTAACCTTTTGCTTCTTATTCTGTTTACCTTATTTGTTGTCAAAACCCAGGGCTTTTTTTTTTGTAGCAGGAACTCCTTTGCATGTTAGACCACACACCCCTAATGTAGCCAATCTTAATGAGTTTCTGCTGTTGGGTGTGGCCTATTATGCTAATGAGTTCCTGCTGGGTGTGGCCAACTCAGGAGCCAGCCGGAACTCCGTTCCTGTGCGTTCCTGCCCAAAAATAGCCCTGATTGGTGATAACTGGAGCTATATCAGCCATTTTCCTTAGTGGCTTACTTCTTCCTTCAACAGTCGTCTGCCTTCACTTAAGAGGATTCTGCTCATGAGCACTTCAGTCTTCTTGAGAAAAATCCAAATCTCCTCTGTGGTGTTCTTTTAGCTGATGCTCCTGTTATTTGCGGGCAGCTTGGAATGGCTTCCCATGCTAGCTGTTGTCCCTGGGAAGCCAACAGGGCACCAGGGAGGGAGGGGAGTACTAGTCAATACCTCTCCCCATGTGTTTCAGACCATTATGTAATTTGAACCATCATTCTCTTTGGTAATTATAAGCAGGGCTCTTTTTGTAGAAAAAGCCCAGCAGGAACTCATTAGCATATTGGGCCACACCCCTGACAGCACAGCTCATTAGCACATTAGGCCGCACCCCAATGTTACCAGAAGTGTGGTTATCCAGCCACACCCACCTTTTGCTTGTTATTCTGTTTACCTTGTTTGTGGTCAAAACCTAGGGCTTTTTTGTAGCAGGAACTCCTTTGCATGTTAGGCCACACATCCCTAATGTAGCCAATCCTAATGAGTTTCTGCTGTTGGGTGTGGCCTATTATGCTAATGAGTTCCTGCTGGGCGTGGCCAACTTGGGAGCCAGCCGGAACTCTGTTCCTGTGTGTTCCTGCCCCAAAATAGCCCTGATTATAAGGAATAAAAACTGAGCATGCAAAATGCAGTTATAATACTCTGGATTTATATATGAGTAGAATCATGCCACAGGAAAACAACGTGTGTCCCCCCCCACCTTGCCCACTGGATCATTCTGGGCCCCCTGCAGTAGTGGGTTATCTCCCCCCCCCAAGGAAATAGGGAATTGGGAGAAATTGCCCTCCCCTCTTTTGCCAATGGAACTGCTGTTATGCCTACAGAATCACAAATCAGGGTCTAAGCCTCTTGTTTTTCTTGCAGTCGTATTGAATATATTCAAAAGCAGGCCTTTGAACTTTGTTGTGAATCTCGCCTTCTCCCCAACATTAAATGGGACCCCAAGCAGTTAGCATATACCCGTTGACATTGGTAGGCGGTTTTCTTTACGAGCAGTAACATAGCACGGAGAAGATCCTTTGAGCGTTGAGGCAACAAGTTGCACATAAACAGCTTGCCATGTGGAGACTGCTGGTGTGTGGGGGGGACAATTTAAAGCAGTGTCTGTATGGCAAATTTGTTGTGTACCTGGCTCTTCCTTTCCACACAATGTAGTTGTGGACGGCTCTGAGGAGAACATTTCATGCCTTATACCATTCTGAGGAAATGGGCCGGGAGAGGGACGGAACGGATGCGCGGCAAATGGGCGCGATCCCACGGCAACATCTGGGAATCGTTGCTCGGCCGTCCCCGTTCCGTCCCTCCCGCCCGAAACCCCGCACCAAAAAAGAACCACATACCTGGGTGGTTCATGCTGATGGGCCACGGCAAGTGTGGCCGTGGGATCGCCGGCGCGTCCTTGCACCGTCGTATCCCCTGCTCCTGGCCGAACTGCGCATGTGTGAGCATGCGCAGTTCGCCAGCCTCCCCTTCCCACCGTCGCTTTCTCCCCGGCATCTGATCGTGCCGGGGAGCGACGGCGCCGCGGCGCGGGGGATCCGTGGGATCCCCCCCGAGTAGTCTCAACTTCGGTGCGGCTCAGATTAACCGCACTTCGCCCGTCGCTTTTCCTGCCGTGTGGCAGGGACCTGAATAACACAGAGGTGGCAAGAGGAGTGGGAAGGCTCAGCCGTGGCAACGAGGTTTTGAAATATATTGCAGTTAGGTAAAGAAATTCCTCTACCTTCTGCCATCTGGCATCGCCCATTTCATTCTTGTGCACTGTTGTTTGGCCTGCCCCGCATGCCGAAGTCACTGTCTTCTCCATTGTGTTGAAAACATTTTTCTGCAGACTGTGCTGATGGACCAAACGCGTTTTCAGGAAATGCAGTTGGAACTGGACCAGCTCATCTTAACAGGCGCTGTTCTTCTGGTAACATTCAATGCAGCGGGCACAGCCCTTTCAGGCTTGCCAGGCTTTACCGACAAGCTCAAAACGGGTATCCGTGTGCTGCTGACTGGGCTACACCCCTCGTGAGTACCGTGCAGCTTTTGGTCCCTCTGTGATGTGATTCTGAATGGTATGGAAGTCATCTCATACTGTTTTTATGGCAATGCTGTATGGCCTTCACCATCTCCTTGAGATGGAAAAGGCTTTGTGTTGGGCGTAGGAAGAATACGGCATTCCCTATAGCAAGTAGTGATGTGAAGAAAGAGGCCTTCATTAAAAGTTCTTCCATGCCACCAAAGCTGAGGGAAAGGGCAGTCAGGCCCTTGGGCTGGGGAGGAATTTGAGCCCTATTGTGCTCCCAGTGACATCATCAGAAATACAGTATTTAGCTAGACTGTTCATATACAGCTTCCCTCCTGGAACACAAGTATCAAAGCAGCTTACAAATGTTTAAGTCCTAAACACAAAAGTATAATCACTTGAAATCCAAGTATAGCAGGACATCTGTTACTCACATACCTATTTTAACAAAACTTAAACTGGTGGCCAGTCTCTTCTTGATGTCCTTCAGACCTCAAATATTGCATCAGCAACTGAACCCCAACAAAGGGGTGTACATTCTTATATGGTGGAGAATTTTTAACCACATGACATAATGCACATGTTTCATGTAAATCGATCAACTCCCAGTCCTATTTAGAAAATGACTTCCTCTTCCACTCTCATTTCTCATGTGATTTCAGGCTTTGTTACCTTTAGTGGGCGTGTAAGGCTTCCTCCAAGCAGTGCCTCCCCCCCCCCTCCCAATCAGGGTTTGTTATACTCCTGTGGCTTATGATTTAAGTTTCAAACATTAACAAACCAGTTGCAAGTTTTCTATGAGCTGCTATAATACATGAAGCCTGTGCCATCCTTAAAGAACCTAACCCTTCTTCCTCCAGCTCCTCCAACTTGACCGAAGCTTTGGCTACCATCAGTGAAAAGGTCTGTGCTGAAGTGAGTGGTTGTCTTTCCCAACATGGATTCACACCGTTCACACTTGAAAAAGAGACTGTGCTTAAAGGACAGATCCAGGCTCTGGCCAATCCTGATAATTCCATATGCAAATTGATAGGTATGTTTAGGGGACCAAATTAATTTATGGGAGGGGGAGTCAGACAAAACCTATTATTGCACATATTTGGGATTGGATGTGGATTACATTTTCCACTCATGCAAGACACTTCTGTCCATGGAACAGAAACATTCCTGTCCCCCTCCCCCGGCTGCTGCGGCCCCCTGATCTCCGGGAAATGCTATTCCTTCAAGACAGGAGGCTCTCAGGAACAGCATGAGAGGTGGGGAGAAATCCGGGGTCTGCAGCCGGAAGGGGGAATTGGTGGAAATTACTCCACTCCTTCCATTAGTGGAAAATTTAGTCTGGATCCAGCCCATGATATTTGGAGGACAGAAATAGTTAAAAAAGAAATTGTATTGTCATTAACTAGTATCTAAAGGCTACTTTATCAAGGTAGAAGTGCCACATGAATGCCAGGAGAGGAGGAACTATTTTGGGAGATCAATAATATGATGGTTGAGAGCTAGAATTTCACCAGGGATTTTGGGTAGAAGAGCAGGAAACGTTTGGTTCTCGTTTTATAGCTGAGGGTGATATGAGATATGAGAGAGGTATATATACCCATACCTTGAATAAACCTCTGTTGGTCTTAAAGGTGCCACTGGACTCTCAATTTGTTCTCATAAACTTACTTGATATACATTTCTGTCTTCCTGCCAGAATCATTGTTAGTAATTCTTGATAATATTTATTGTTCTTTTCCAGAGTCCAGAATCCAGATGTTTTTAGAAAGCTACCTTGCATCTGGTTATCAGAAATCCATTCCTGCAATTCCTGGTGGATTAGGCGCTATTCAGCGAGAGCTAGAGGAAATTGCTGTCAAGTACATTCGCCTTGTTAACTACAACAAGATGGTCTTTAGTCCTTACTATGACGCAGTGCTCAGCAGCATACTGAATAAAGAAGAAACAGCTCACTTACAAGGAACACTGGAAGATGATTAACCCCCCAGGGTTTTGTTCTTGACAGTAAGGCTTTAATCCAGAGTAGTGCAATGAAAGGCTGCATACCCCTCCTGTTAACACTGATAAGAACATAAGAGACGCCAATGTTGGATCAGGCCAAAGGCCCATCCACTCCAACACTCTGTATCACACAGTGGCCAGAAATACCAGGTGCCATCAGGAGGTCCACCAGTGGGGCCAGGACATTAGAAGCCCTCCCACTGTTGACCCCCCCCAAGCACCAAGAAGACAGAGCATCACTTGCCCCAGAGCCCCTATCTATACCTTGTGGCTAATAGCCACTGATGGACCTCTGCTCCATATGCTTATCTAATTCCCTTTCGAAGCCGTCCATGCTTGTAGCCGCCACCACTTCCTGTGGCAGTGAATTCCATGTGTTAATCACTCTTTGGGTGAAGAAGTACTTCCTCTTATCCATTCTAACCCGACCGCTCAGCAATTTCATGGAGTGCCCACGAGTTCTTGTATTGTGAGAAAGGGAGAAAAGTACCTCTTTCTCTACCTGCTCTTTCCCATGCATAAGCTTATAAACCTCAATCGTCACCCCTCAGTCGTCGTTTCTCCAAGCTAAAGAGCCCTAAGCGCGTTAACCTTTCCTCATAGGGAAAGTGTTCCAACCCTTTTATCATTCGAGTTGCCCTTTTCTGCCCTTTTTCCAAAGCTATAATATCCTTTTTAAGGTGTGGTGACCAGAACTGCACACAGTATTCCAAATGGGGTCGCACCATTGATTTATATAGTGGCATTATGATATTGGCGGATCTGTTTTCAATACCCTCCCTAATAATCCCCAGCATAGCATTGGCCTTTTTTATTGCAGTCACACACTGTCTTGACATTTTCGGTGAGTTATCTACTACAACTCCCAAGATCTCTCTCTTGATCAGTCTCTGCCAGTTCAGATTTTGGCTCCAATGTACATCACCTTGCACTTGGCCACATTGAACCCCATTTGCCATGTTGACGCCCACTTGCTCATCCTTGACAGATCCCTCACTGGTTTTCACCACCCTGAACAACTTCGTATCATCCGCAAATTTAGCCACTTCACTGCTTACTCCCAACTCCAAATCATTAATAAATAAGTTAAAAAGCAGTGGACCAAGTACTGATCCCTGCGGTACCCCACTGCTTACCACCCTCCACTGAGAGAATTGCCCATTTATACTCACTCTCTGTTTCCTATTAATTAGCCAGTTTTTGATGATTTTTGAGCTTGCTTAGGAGCCTTTGATGAGGAACTTTATCAAAAGCTTTCTGGATGTTTCTACCAGAATTATGAGGATTGAAAAACAGATATGGGGACTCCTATGATCAGTCTTGGCCTCCTCTCCTTTCCTCTTGCTGTCACAGATTGGTGTTGTTGAAGTATCTGAGGGAAATCTGACATATTATTAATGAACTGATGCGCAGACCGGGAGTGGGAAATACCAAGATTACTTGTTCACTTCCTCTTGCTTCTGTTCAATTGATCAGTACTGTGATGAGGAGCTTTGTTAAGAAGTTCCCTATAGAGCCATTCTACTATTGGGAGTATGCTAAATTGTGCCCCCTGTCCCCTCTGGCTAGTTGTTCAAGGTACAAAGGTAAGATGTGCCATGAGTTCCTCCCTCTGGCACAACGGTTTTCCTGCTACATCAGACGCATGCCGGGAAGCCCATTTCTGTGCACTGGATCGGGGCCATTTGTCTGATGTGGGCACCTCGTAACCTTTGGGAAATGGCTTGCCTGCAAACCACTTCAGTAATTGAATAGCAGTGATTTGAGTGTGAAGCTGATACATCAGAGAAGTGAAGGATAAATGCAAATGCAGAAGCTTAATATTTAATTCCAAACAAACCGAAGAGCTGGAAATCTTTTAAATTTTATCTCTGGAATATGATGACAGCGAAAATAATATCTTGATGTTTTTCTATTTACTGTTAAGGTAGCATGAACTCTGGCACAAAAGAGGTAATGACTTCTTTCTACACTATGATTCGTAAAGCCTGTTGTAATAGTAACTTAAATGTCCATGTGTATGAATGTTGGATACCGGTAGTTTAAAGCACTTTAGATATTCTGTAAGGCCATTAGTCTTTCTGCCAGCCACATTTTTAAATAGATTTGCTTCTTGACTTGCAGATAACTCTACCAAGACATATATTTTTGTATTTTTTGATTCTTTACAATGACGAGCTGTAGACTCACAGAGTTGCTTCTCTCTTAGGATGTGTGGAAATGAAAACTCTTTTGATGAAAATGGTGTTTTTGGTTTACTGCTGCTGGTAACTTGGGAACATGACATGGAGACATGCAAAACTTTACATCTATAGAAGCTGTATAATATTTGTCCACTGACTTGAATACTAGACTCTATATGTGTTAAAGTTTTGTGATTGAGAAGAGGCACTACGTTTCTAGCTTGAGAAACCCTCTGTTAAATGACAAGACCCTGATCCAGGCGCTCTTTGTGCACAGCTGCAGGATACTACCAGGCTGCTGTGGGACCGAGCCCTCTCCCCACACAGCAGCTGTCAGCAGACTTCTGGGCCTGGCCTGGGCAGAAAAAGACTGCTTCCAAGTGCATGTCACTCTTTTTGGATTGGGATACAACACTTTATTTGTATATTAGGCACAGTGGTTTTAAATTTATCGCAGAAATGAGCTATTTTTAACTTTTCATGGAATTTACGGAAAAGGTATTGCTGGAGTTAAAAAAAAGAAGTCCAGAGTTCATAAACTTCTGTAGTCAATTTTGCATACTGGAGAAAATTAAGTGTGTTTCTTAAGTAGGTGTCCAGTAAAATGATTTTCCGTATCAGAAGCCTGACTATTATGTATGATTAAAAAAAAAAACCAAGGAAGCAAGGTCACATGTTCAGAAAATTGCTCTTGCTTGAAAACAAAACAAATATTCAGTGGCTATATGTCATCTAGTTTGTAAGGGAGTGAAAAACAAGCTTAAAAAGCATTACTACTATAGTCCCGTTAACTGTAACCGAATTACGTTTTGCTTTAGTGTAATCGAATAAAGTTTTGCTTTAGAATTAAGGTCTCACATGCTTAATTGTTGCTGCAACTACAAAGCATTTGAAGTTGAGGAAATTCAGTGTTCTGTCAACATATTCTGTTATATTGTGTTTGGAGTTCCCTTATGTATTTCCTTGAAGGCTATTAAGAATGCTAACTTGTTGCTGCTGTTTAAATATCGATCTATGCCTTTCCTCCACCATAAATGTGAGATTGTAACTCAGCTCATCTGTAATAAATACCTTTTATGTGACAGTCTCTTGCAGTTCCAAATTAAAAGTATTTACTATATTGTCTGTCAGTGGCAGAGGATCAGCTCTTCCATTCTCAATGATGTGTCAATTAGCTAGATCGTGGATCCTGTGTGGGAGGGGAAGGTTCCCTTAGCTCCCCTGTGGTGGTAAAATGAAGATGGAGTTTCACCTCTTTTGCTTTAATTGGCCAGGCTTTTCCATAGCCTTTTCTCTCTTTATGTTCAGCATCATCTGTCCCAGTCAGCTAGAGGAGAGAGCTAGAAACATGACAAATGAGGCATTCGGAAGAACTGCAGCTTTCTGTGTCGCCTTGCATCTGCGACAGTGGGTGCAAAGACACTGGTATTCCCGGTAGTGTGCTGTAAGTACCTCGAAACGGCTCCTGCTGTGACTTCATGGGCCCTCAACTAGCCCTGCTGTACTTCCTTGCTGCTCCCTGATGTTATCTGAATCCACTGCTAGGTTTGTTCCCTGTGCCTCCTGCTAAAGGTATGACACGGGATGCCAATGTTTTGCAATGTGGTGGTCCACATTTAAGGAGGCCCCTCTTAGGACACCAGGGCCTCTCTCACTGGATGCAAAGTGATAGCCCAGCATTCCAATCGTCCTTCTGTTTTGTGTATTTCATGTTTTTGCCATTATTTTAGTCACTTCAGTAATACATGATGGACTTGGAAGCTGAACTTCCTTGAGAATTGCTGGTATGCATCACTGCAGTTGAAGTGTCTCTGTTAGGGGATTGTTACTTCAAATGACAACACCCAGTCTAGAGTTTACAAATCTACACTGTAATCTGGTCATTTGGTGCAGAGTTCACGTACCCATGAACCAAATGTTCAGGCTTTGGAACAGAACAGCCCAACTTCAAGTACATGGTGATGGGTCTGAACTTGCTGAGACTGAGAGAAAGAGACCTTGGGGTCGTAGTGGATAGCTCAATGAAAGTGTCAACCTAGTGTGTCACAGTAATGAAAAAGGCAAACTGTATAGTGGGGATTAGTAGGAAAGGGATTGAAAATAATAATGTCCCCCTGTATAGATCTATGGTGTGGTCTCATTGGGAATACTCTGTGCAGTTCTGGTCAGTGTATTTCAAAAAAGACACTATAGAACTGGGGAAAGTACAGAAGAGAGCATGATGATTAGGGGTTTGGAGCACTTTCCAATGAGGAAAGGCTGAAGAGTATGGGAGTTTTTAGTTTAGAAAAGATATGACTAGGGGGGGGGGGTTATAGAGGTTTATAAAATTATGCACAGGGCAGAGAGAGTGGATAGAACTTTTTCTCCCCCTCCCCAAAACACTTGAACTTGAGGGCATCCCATTAACTTAATGGGCAGTAGATTCAAGGAAATAGTTACTTAGCCAACGAGTGATTAAAATGTGGAATTTGCTGTCAGAAGATGTAGTGATGGGCACAGGCTTAGGTGGCTTTCCAGTGAGAAGGCTGGTTTATAAAATTATGCATGAGATGGATAGAAAACTTTTTCTCCCTCTTCCAAAATGCTAGAACTCAAAGGCACCCAATGAAGTTAATGAACAGTAGATTTAGGATGGACAGAAATAAATTCTTATTTACACTGTGATTAAAATGTGGAATTCACTGCCAGAGGATATAGTAAAGGCTACAGGCACAGATGGATTTAAAAGGGGATTAGACAGATTCATGGAGGAAAAGTCTATCAATGGCTACTAGTTATAGTGACTAAAGGGAACCTCCACATACAGAGGCAGTAAACCCATGTAGTAAACCTCCACATACAGAGGCAGTAAACCCAGAGGCAGTAAATCCATGCCAGAAGGCACCTAATTCCAAGAAGAGCTCCTAATTCCAAGATTTGTGGCCAAGTGATGA